GTCGTCCATAACGCGTTGTCCTGGCCGAGTCAAGTCTCGAACCAAGGAAGGTGTAATATGTTTCGCTCGTGTTTCGCACCTTCGACCAAAGAATCGATAACCCTTTCGCTATGGGCGACTTCCACTGGACGAGTCGAAAATGTGCACGAGAAAGCGGCTGCTGATGATTTACAATTCGAGTTGCTTTCACGGTGTTTAAACGTCGAAATATCGATGTTCCAGAGAAAGACGATTTGCTCGACGCGCAATCTTCGCTCTGGCATCTTGTGCAGAGCGACTATAGATATATTGGTAATAGCGAAAGGGTTAACAATCCGCGAGAAGAACGATATCAGTACACAGTCGTTGGCTCGCGTTTCTCAATCAACTCCGTATAAATCATAATTACCGGGAAGGTCGTAATTTAATCTCGCGATGAACGACAAGGGACGAGGACTAAGGGAGAACGTTATCGTTGCTCAATTAGCCGGGAAGAGTAGAGGATTGGTTGTTGCGTCTTCTCCTTCGTTTTCATTGTTCATCCTCTTCCTTTCTTTCTCTTCTTTGATCATTTTCCTCTCGAGTTTCTTGAATCGTTTTGAACTATTTTTTGGAAACGAATCTTTCATCTTTTTCATCTCGACGGAAGAGGAATGGATCGGCGAAGATGCGGATTCACGGGGAAAGGAAGGCGCGAGGAAGGTTTCTTTTTTAATTAAAAACGAAGCATTCGCATTTTCGCGCGTGATCATGCGAGAATTCCGTTCTATTTCTCCTTCTTGGAATTACCTTCGCAGCCAGCCTACTTTCGGGGACGTCTCCTCGCGTCTAAAGGATCGCGTGTTTACACAACGAGCTTGTACGCGTTTTGCGTACAAGCTCGTTTCCAAACGCGTAAATTACGCGAGGGAGAGAGATGTACGCCGAGGAATTCGAGATAACGAAAAGCGAAGGAACGAAAAGACGGAGAAAAGATATGGAGCGTGGAAAGTGGTGTATCGTCGTCGTCGCGTGTCAGAGGAGAGGAAAGTGGAGGGAGATGGATGGAAGAACGAAGAGAAGAGGAAGAAGAAAAGGGTGCGTGGATCTCGATGCAAGGGAGAAACATCATCTGTCGTTGACTCTCTGCGTTTCATCTTTGCCTCTGAAAGCGTTCCTTGTCCTCTCCCGTACAGTGTCTTTCAGAATAGGCTGACATTATCCAGAAGTTGGCTCGGGTGAAAAAGCTAGGATATCGGCGTTGTCGGTAGTTTTGTGCGGAAGAGCGACGGTATCGAAGAAAGGAGAGATTTGGTCATCGAGCAAAGAAAAATCAATGAACCCCTTTGTGTCTCTCGCTCTTTAAGTAATTAAATCGAACTGCGCCTCGTTCGTCATCGCGTCGTTTCTTTCTTTCACGACACGTCGTGATAGAGGAAGCATTCCAAAATTTCCAAACGATTCCATCACTTTTTAACGAAAACTCGATCGATTTCTTCTCGTAGGATGGAACGGAGGTGTCGACGATTTTCGTTTCGTCGTCCAGCAACCGCCGGAGAAGGGGCCACTGCTGGATGTGGTGTGTGTATTCGGTTTTAAAGCGTGTACACCCGTATACACGTGCTATAATGCACGCCGTATGCCGATAGTCGGTCGAGATAAAGTATACTAGGAAACGAGCGTGCATAGAGGCAGAGAGAACCGACGCGCAACAAGCCGGCGTCGTGCATCGCGATCGCCATAACGTGTATCGCTCGTTTCAAAGCTCTCCTCGGGATCCGTACACGGTATCGCACCGTGCCATATGGAGAGAGGCGAACGATCTCGCCAACTTTCAGCCGAAGGAAAAGTTGGCGAACTTTTAAACGTTACTTGAATCTTGGGACTACGTTTTATACGCATATCAAACCCCGTCCAATTTACGTAATTCGAGACACATCGATAAACGCGACTTTAATTCGTTAAACATTCAAATTACCATTTCATTGCATCTGCATTTTCACGAAATTGGAAACTTGCAACAATCGTCTCTCCTCCCCTCGAAAAAACTTATCCTCCGGAAAAAGTCCAATAAATCCCGTAGGAAATGTTCTTCCTGTCCTCGTAACGAGGCCACGACCCGTGGCCCTTTCACGCTTGGCCGAATCCCCCGCGTCGTAATGAAATTATACCGTCGGGCTCTCGTCTCGATCGGCAGACCACTGTGGATATCGTACCACCGCCTCGATAACGCGGATATCCGTCTACGTTACAAATCGAAGGGCCGAGGCGCGCCTCGCACCTACTAACGTTAAGCAGATTACCGTGGATGAATATGTATGAGCGTGCCGCACACACACACACACGCACGAGCAGAGGCCTGTGCGGCGGAGGGATCGGTGGGCGTGCGCGTATCGCACGCACGTGGCCGAGTAGGCGCGCGCGCGCGCACCGGCGTTGTAGGTGAGGAACGTGGGGGGGAGGAGAGAGGGTGCGAGGAGTTAGCGCGAATAGACACGGAACAGCACGGTGTGTCGCGAAACTGTGTCGCTACGAGATTTCCGATTCGAAACAGGTTTCGAGGGAGGAAGATATACCGGTGGAGGAGGAGGATTTGTAATTCGTGATAATTAACCCGTTAACGGTGGATAGATAAGGGAATTAACCTCTTCATCGCGCGTTTCACTATCCTGCTACGGGATTTCGACGAGTTTCGGTCGTGCGGAAGATATATATATATATATATATATATCGGGGTGGGATGAGCAAGTAGTTTCTCGATTCTCTCTTTATAAACTTCTCGTCGCGTTTCATCCGATCTGGAATTTTTATTCCCCCCCCCCTGGTGACTACTCTCCGTTTGCTGCGCATATGCAAGTGTAATTTCGACAAAGGTGGAAGGAAGAAAAGAAGAAAAAAGGTAGGAATGGAAAGATCGATTCGTAACGAGGTTCTCTCCGATCATTCGAATTTTCAACCGATGGAAGAAACAATGGTGGAGGAGGATATCTCTCGATGAGAGAGATGGAGAGAGGTGGAAAGAACGTCGGAATACGGAGCGTAAAAGGAGGAGGAGGAGGAGGAGAATAGAGCGGTGAGCGTGCGAGAGAGAATTAGCGGGAGCGTGGGTGGAGCATGGCAATGGGAGCAACGGTGGACTTGTTAGCGCGAACGTACCGTAGGGAATAAAGCGTGTCGCGTGTACGTCTAAATATAAAGTCGGTGGAGAAGAGGCGCGAGTGGCGCGGATCCCTGGCGAGAGAGCGGTGTAACCACCTAGTCAAAACACGCCTGTTGTGCCGCGAGGAGGCCTCGCCGATTCCAATTGCAGTTTGCCTCGCGGATCATCGTCCTCCGCCACTCTCGCTTTTCTCCGCCAATTTCTCGTCCGACTTTTTTTCTTCTTTCTTTCCTCCATTCGGTCGCGATGGATGAAAAATCGTTGAATGGTGCGCGAGATATCGATGTAAAAGTTTTCCTTCTTTCTTCGAAAATCGTTGGAAAATGGTTTGGAAAGCGAGAGAAATAGTGTCGTAGGAAGTTTCGTAGGAAGCGAGGAGAAGCGTGTCGAGAAATATATATTTAGTCGTTTCGAAACGCGGTTGGAGGAGACTGGGACCGATTTTACGACGACCTTGGAGGAATCGTAAAAGCGCGCAAGGAGCGCGAGATGCCGTGCTATTTTCGAGTGAAATATTCGCGCGTAATTCGCGGGAAAGAGGATCGGAAATATTACTGGTCGGTGAAATATTTTACGAACAACTCGTTAATTAATTTATTAATTCGAGAGTGTTTGGAAACGAAAGCTCCACGATCGCTCGTTCCTTCCTCGGCTAATTAAAAGAGAGTGGCGCGAAAAGAATCGGCGTCTACCCGATTAAACCGAGATTGTTCGACTCGTTCCTCTAACGGTGTGTCGTACGTAAACGCGTGGATAGTTGTTCCTCTCTACTAGATTCGCGCCTTGCAACTGTCACCGCTTTATCCGTCTTGCTCTTTCGTCTCGTTTGGAACGAAATTCGACTTGTCTGCGCGATCGTACAATTTGGAGGAATTCCGTATGCGTATAATATCGGCCCCTGTCGTTCCATTCGCAATTAATTATTCTGGTCGAGTCGCGGGGCATTTAAACGACGAACGAGGCCGTAGTAGGCCCGTGAGAGGAAAGCGTAATCGCTTTAAAATCGTGTCGTCCCAGAAAGCGAGGGCGGGGGCCGTCGTCCGCTGGAAAAACACGGAGGGGAACAATAGCTCGCGATCGAAACGTTGCGCGCTCGTGGACGGAGAAATACCACGCGTGCGGTGCCATTCTCTTTTCGGCCGGGCGTAGTATCACGGCGTTATTACGAATTAAACGAAAAAGAGGTTAATTCCGTGGCGGCTAAAACGGTCGAATCGAGCGGCTATTTTCGAGCGGCTGGAAACGCGACGCTTCATTCATGATATACTCGACTCGACTGTATAAACTCGACACCTAATTAAATCTGAATTTCCTGCCGCGCTTCTTCGACCGTACGTACGTGCAACTTGCTCGTCGCTGCGAATCCTCTATTTTCCATCGATCGATCGATCGTACAGTTTATCGGCAAGTGACGCACGAGGTCGAGTATCGATGATCGACGAGCCATCATCGGTAGCTAGGAAAGGGTTTGGATTGGGGGAAGGAACGAAGGTCTAAGTGGAAACGCGTGTTTTCGCCGCTGCCCTTTTCGCCCTTAATCCCCAGGAAGGGTCGAGTCGGTAAATCAGCCGGTGTTCCCTCCCTCCCTCCATCCTTCGCCTTCCATCCGCGGGATCAACGGCGCGCCGATTAAAACCATCACCCGCGAGGATTAAACTTTTCCTCCTTTGCGCCGTGTCGCGAATCGGGGACTAGCTGTTAAGCGTGACTAGCTCTTCGGTCGTTGACTCGATCTTCGCTCCGATCCTCCTCCCCTCTAAATCCCCGCTTCTTTTCCAATCCTCGAAACGAGCGGTTACGATCCGCGTATTTTCCATCCGCTAGAATAAAATGTTAAAATCTTGCGAGGAAGGAATATAAGAGAATTGCGACTCTCTCGTGGAGAGGGCGGCTCGAGATGGATCGTGATATTTGGACGAGCGACAATCCGAGCGCGAAGAGGTTGTCCACGGAATACTCGGGGATCGACGACAACGACGATCATCGTCCAACGAAGTGCAACGAGGAGGAGGGGACACAGGATTCCCAGAGGCGATCCCGAGCAAACGCTCGAGGACCAGGCGGCTGTCGAGTACTTCCTCGTGGACGACTCGCCGATGGCGAGGTTCAGTCGGTGCATCAAGTGGATCTACGAGAAAGTGAGTCTGGAAAGTAGCTCGGTTAAAAGAGGTTGTCGTTTTTATACCTTTTCCTCGACGGTTCTTCCAGCTTTTCGAGCGGAGTTCTGTCGGTGGGGGAAAATTCGTAAACCGTGATCCTTGTTCTCGTGAAAAGAAACTTTTACGGTTGTTGACCGTGAGGAGATGGAATGGTTTGTCGATCGAACCAGTTGTGTTAATGGCGAATCATCGCCATTCCGCGAACGTGTGACGTTGACGTTTCTATCGGCTGAAAGGTTCGATTGTGCTCTCTAGCGTAGTCGGCCGGCTCGTCTCCTCTCCTCCTCCTCCTCCCGGTGAAAGAAGCTATTAACCGCACGCAGCGTACGCCAACGTCCTTTTGCTCTGTTTTACTTTCGAACTCCTCGAGCCGTGTCTGCGAAACGTGGCTCGAACGAAACCGTGGCCGTGCACGCCGGTTCCTGCCGCGGATCACGAAAGTCGTGACGGGTTTCGCGCTTCCTTCTCTTCCTTTCTATGGACGACGAAACCTCCTTCTTCGAAACCCTTCTTCCTCATCGCCTCAGCGACTCGTCGTGCATCGAGTGCTGGTGAAAAGCCGGTCCTAGCGTGCGGGAATTTTTTTTTTAGGGGAAATTGCCGGATCCGCGTCGATCGAGAGTGGTTTCGCTCGAAGATAATACCTCCCCCTCACCCGTCTCTCAACCGTTATTCGTTATTACACGTGGGTATAATAATGTTTGAAATCCATTTTTCCACATATTTTCACTTCATATTTCGTTTTACGATCCATTGTTTGCTCATTCGTTCTGTTTTGTTTCGTTTTGTTTGCTCGTCTGCTCGTTGCCCATTTGCAAACAACATTAAACGCTCTACGACTGTGGCATCGGTAATGAATACACCGCCGCGTGGAACGTGTTAATGAACCAGATGACAACATTTCTCGTCTCATCCTCCTCGTCCCCGACCTCGGATGAAATGCTCGTGGAACGCGGTGCCTGGAATCGAGATAGATCCTCTCGCTCGTCCGCCCTCCTCTCCCTTCCCTTCCCTCCTCTTTATCTTTCGCCTCGTCTTCTCTCGAATCCCCCCCTCCCCCTCTCTCTCTAACTTCGCGAAAAGAGAGAGAGAGAGAGAATGCGGAGAGATCGCGCAACCATCGAGCCTACCCGATGTCCTCCACCTCAACACGGATTCATCCCCGGATAAAGGGGAGCAGAAGTAAGAGAGCGGGGACAAAAGAAAGAGGAGGGAGGGAGTCGCGTGTCGAGAGGGTCGGGCGAACTTAGAAACTCTTCTCCGCCACTTCTCCAGAAGACCACCACCACCACCACCTCCTTCTCGGGAGAGTGGGTCTTACGCCGCGAAACGACCTATTTCGCGTCGCGGCTCAGGTTTTTCGAAAAGGGAGGAAAGAGAGAGAGAGAGAGCGTGGACGACGCGAGGCAACTATTAGCCTCGACCGAAACCAACAGTTGTTGGTTCGAGGTTAACGAACCTTCTCACAATTCCGTTTTTCCTTTTCTTTCTTTCTTTCTTTTTTTTTCGTGGAAACTTTCGCGTATTCTCCGTTTGAAATGGGACTTTCGCGCAAGTGGAAGAAAATTTCACGAGGGGAATTCGACGGTGTGGAGCCTGGCGGAACGGACGAATGGTTGTTAGAGGCGAAATCGATACAAGCGCCGCGACCCGGTCACGAAAGGCGATAAAATTTTAATCGGCGAATTACCGCATAGGGCGGGGGCGTCTCGATGACCGACCGAGCTAATTAATCGAAATCTCGATTTTTGGCGGTTCCGCTCTCTCTCTCTCTCTCCTCTCCCGGAGGAAGGAGTGCATGCTCGAAATATCTTGGCGCGCCAGGTGGGACGAATAGCCAGGGCCACGGCCTCTAACCAATGGATTCTTATCCTCGCGTCAGCGGGATCACTCTTTATGCCTCTTCGATCGTCGATATTATTCCCCTCGATCGATGGAAACCGAACCAGATCCAATTTCTCGTCTCTTCCTCCTCCTCCCTTTCCCCAAATTTTGTTGCGATTCCATCGAACGTGATCTCTCTCCCTCTCCCTTTCGAGAAAATACGAGAAGAAGGAGGGCGCCCCTGCCCCTTCACCCCGACGATTTTAACACGAGCTTGGTATAGGGAACGAGGTGGGAGCAAGAGGAAAGTAATTTGCCGCAGGAAACGCGCGTAATCGCAAAATCGACCACAATGTGGACGTGGTTGCCGAAAGTATGGGAGCAATTTCCATCGGGGTCGGGTTGGCCCCGCTTCGTAACGATCAGTCTGCCGATTGAACGCGAAATTGACGTTACGAAGTTAACTCTTACGCGTTCAACGTTCCGAATAATATATCGAATCGAAATTCGGGCTATTTTCCCTCCTCCCTTCTCCCTCCTCATCGTTCAATTCGTCAATCGATCTCGGCCGAGATCCCTTTTAATCTTTCGAGCGAAATAAAGTAACCTTGAATACCTTGAGCGAAGAGCGTGTGTATTCCGGAAAGAAAGTTTTTTTTTTGCGAATTGTTCTACCTTACCCCCCCTTTTTAATAAAAAATTTTTGCCTCCAGGCCAGTGCTTCGAACGCGTAGACGTATACGTGGTTGCCGTTAAGTTCCGGAAGGAAGGAACGACTTGGACTACTACTACTACTACTGCTGCTGCTGCTGCTGCTAGTACTACTACTAGTGTTGGACCCTAGATTTGTGTTCTCATAGATCCCTAATGCCAGCTCCGCAACAGAACTTGTACGAAGAGGACTGTCATGGGCCGATGGACGGCGTACGACCGCACGATTTCCCCGAAACGTATGAACAGTTGTTGAAGCATTTTTGTGTCAAACCCATCTCTCTTCCTATTTATTGCCTGGACAATAAACGGCGAGTGTGCCGAGGTTGCTATGAAGATGGTTTAGATAATGAAGTGCGAGCATTCTATCAGGAAGGTGGCTATCATTCGATGTGCAGGAACGCCGGTGTAGCTAACGCGACCAAATGCCACGTTTGCCAACGACGCATAGCGTATATAACACCGGCAGGTTCCTGCACCGAATGCATCGAGGAATTTTTCGAAGTAACAGGCGAAGATTTGCGCAACATGTCTAGGGGGAAAACCATAGACGTGTTGACGAGATGGTAGTGTAAAAAAAAGATAAATAAATATATATATATATATATGTATGCATGTATATATATATATATACATATATATATAATAAAAAGACACGTAGAATAAAAAGAAAAGTGAAAAGTGTGGACAATTTGAACACTGTGCGTGAAAAAAAAAAACAAAAAACAATTTAACGAAGATAATCACAAGTGCGAGTGCGATCTGATGATACGACCCCGATGGACAATATGACAACAGTATCCAGCGCTTGCAAAAGAAAAGACGAGAAATCGGAAGAAATATATACTACTAGAAAAGCAAGTATTACTCATCTATTTCTATATCTTTTACTATCGATCTTTGTATACGCGAAATATATATATATATATATATACGTATAATCGAGAATCGTTATCGAGAATCTGGAAACGAGATCGACTCGAGGTAGCGTGGAGGTAGTCGCGGAAATCCGACACCGTGGATCGGATCCCGGTAGGGATACACCCGCGGGACATTCGATCTCTACTCTCGGTCGATCGACCGTTTCCTTTCGTTTCGACCGTTTGAAACCGCGGTTTCGATCGAAGTCCAAAAGCGAATCGATTTCAATCGGAGCAAGTGTCGCGTTAATTGGGCGGGGGCGCCCTCGTCGTTCAACGATAAAACCAACGATAACAATAATATTCATCGAAACGAGGAAGAATTTTTCCTCCTCGAATCGGAGGACGCAGAGAATCAATTATTTATTTTCGCACGGATCGCGTTTAACGTGCTAACTCGGTGATCGATTAACCGACCAATCCACCCCCTCCCCCGCCCTCTTTTCCGAGACGTGTTTGCTCGGTTAATTTGCCCGGTTAATTCGCTTGTGGACAATCTATTCGATTGCGATTTAAACAATCTTCCTTTTAACGATTCCTTTTTTCGATTCGAAACGAAACGTGCGCGTGGAAGAAAAAAAGACGAAGGATACATTTCTCTTCGAGATGGAACGGCTATGAGATATAAATCGATCTTTTCCTCGAGAGGAGGGGATCGTCTCTTTTTTCTTTTTTTCCTCTCGTCGCGTGCTATTCATCCCGGGACACCCTGTATTATAAAGCGATAAATTGGATTCCCGTCGTCGGGGCAACTGGAAGAGGCGCGCCTTAATCTTGGCGGAGACTTAACACGCGTACGCGTATATATAGCATGATCCGGGCATGAAGAGAGCCGGCCTCGATTAATCATACAGTCTTACGGTGACAGCCTCTAGGAGAGCCTGAATCTTCGCCTTGTTGCTCCGCGATCGGATCGATACACGGTGATCCTATTGAAACTAAATTACTCGCCATTACTCGTCCAGCCAACCCCGTATACCCCGTATATGTATTCACGCCCCGTTTAATCCCTTTTAGATAGTTTAATCCTTTCGGATAGGATCTCCCTCTATTATTATTATTATTATTATTATTTTAGTCGAAAAAAGGGATAGAGTGGATTTACCATGTTTTGCCAATCTTCTTCCTCAACTTCTCGACGACTATCCATTTACTAGAGCTCCCGTAGAATTTTCACGAGGTGTTAATCGCAACGATCGTCCATTCATCGATGGAAAGGAATATTCCCTTTGTGCGTACGATCGACGTGCAACGCTCTTCTTACGCCCACGCGTGTTGTTCTCTCACGGAATGACTTTCCTCGGGAAAGGAATGCATCCTAGCGGCGGCTGCGGATAAAATGATTGCGCGGGGTCGTGGTCGGGTTCAACGACCACGTATCTTGGCTAGAGAAAGAGAATGGATCGAAAGGATCCAGAGGGAGGGATCCCCGCTCGAACCGAGCGTTCTGGTTATGTATACGTACACACTTGCTGTCCCCATTCTTGTTCCATCCTACCCTTATCCTAATTATTCTTCGTATCG